ATCTAGCCTAGATCTCGAAGGATTATAAAGACATAGGCCAATAATTGACATGAAAGAAGGAGCCTAGGCCCATAGATAGATCTAAGTTTAGAAATTCACATTTTTAACAACCGACAGGCCTCACAGATGGCCTAAATTTCTACAGCAGGAAAAATCCACTTTCAAGAATACTTTCATGAGTCTTTTTCTCGATCTAGATTCACAGACAGCCTAGTTCTAGACTCTAGATCTGTTAACAACAGACACAAATTAACGTTCAATACTTTCATCATTTTCTTATTTTTTATTCGTGTACTTGTGTATGGCTTTGTAAACAAATTTCTTATAATTACACTGTTCTCTATTACCCCTAGCCTGATTATTGCAGCATAGCCCTCAATGGGGCTATCGCTACAGGACCTCATAAAGCTGTTGCACCCAAGACGTATTAAGGGTTAGTGTCCCGTAGTCCTATACAGGACTGTGGCCTAGTAATCCTGCGTAGCCCTTCTTGCTCCCAAACCCTCTGAAAGGATGTCACTCCTTTGGGCTGTCTGCCCTAGCCCTCAGAAGCGCTGCCGCCCCTTGCCCGCAGAAGGGATGTAACCACTGGCCCTGAAAAGAGCTGTCGCTCTTTGCCTGCAGAAGGGCTGTTGCCCCTATAGGCTACCACCCCTTACAGTTGTCGACATTATCCCTCAGACGGGCTGTAGCCCCCTTCGGCAATTGCCCCTAGCGCTCTGTGAGCTGTCACCTCTTTGGGCTTTCGCACCTAGCCCTTATAGGAGCTGCTACCCCTATGAGCTGTCACCTCTTTGCCTCTTTAGGCTGTCGTTTCTTTTGGGCTGTCATCCTTTGAGCTCTTGCCCTAGCCCTTAGAAGGTCTTTTGTCCCTTTCGGCTGTCACCTCTTCGCGCTGTCACTTTTAGGCTCCCCCATTTGGGCTGTCGCCGGGCTATTGTCCCTTTGGGCTGTGCCCATGGGCTGTTGCCCCTTTTACACTGTTGTCCCTTTGGGATGTAGGCCTTTTGGGGGGCTGTAGTCCCTTTGGGCTGTCGCCTCCTTGGGCTGTCGCCTCTTTAGGCTGTTGCTCCTTTGGGCTTTCGCCTCTTTAGGCTGTTGCCCCTTTGGGCTGTGTTCTCTTGGGCAACAGCCTTGGTTGCACTGTTGTCCTTTTGGGCTGTGGCCCTTTTGGGAAGTTGCCCCTTTGGGCTGTGGTCCCTTTGGGCTATCACCCCTTTTGGGCTGTCGCCCCTCTGCACTGTCGGCCTTCTGGGCTGTGGCCCCTTTGGACTGTGGCCCCTTTGGGCTATTGCCCCTTTTGGCAGTCGCCTCTTTGGGCTGTGGCCCCTTTGGGCTGTTGCCCCCTTGGGCTGTGGCATATTTTGGGCTATTGCCCCGTTGTGCTGTCTCCCATTTGGGAAATGGTCCGTTTGGGCTGTCACCCCTTCGGCTCCTTTGGGCTGTTGTCTCTAGCCCTTTTTAACATACCTTTTGACCTTTTCAACCCTTTGAATGGTCTTTAGACTTACCTTTTGTTTTACTTGCACGTTGTTCTGTAGACACAAGATTCGCTGACGGTTTGGGGAAGTCTGGAAAGTCGGCTCTCA